TGTGTGTGTGTGTGTGTGTGTGTGTGTGTGTGTGTGTGTCCATCTCACACACAGTTGTGGCATGTGTCAGCCAGACAAAGGTGAAAGGTTACAGAGAGCACCAGAGCCACCAGTTGCTAAGCGACATTTTACCACCTTCCCTTCATCTCTGCTTGTTCACTCCGTTTATTTCAGTTTGTGTCCTGCTCCGCTTTAATTATTTGCCGGGCTGAATGTGATGTAGAGATAAGAGACAGTTGGTTAATGTCTTTTTTGTCATGCTGATATATTGCATGTCTTCACTGAGCTGTAATTGGCTGCGTTTGAAGCCACAAGTGAGCCTGTGTTCCTTTAGTTCTTGTTTGTGAGCACACTGTGGAGTGCTTTTTCAAAAGAGCAACTGCATATAAAGAACACAGCAACACATATTCAGCACATGCATACACAAGTACGAACCACAGCAGCACAATTTATCATGCATGTATGTTGTTCATTGTAATTTTGAGATAGCACAGACCAGTGTGATGAAGCACTGTGACTAACGTCTTTTGGCAGAGAACCTGAGTGAGGTTAACTTGTTGGAGAAACTGTGGCGGTTTGTTGGCTTTGGTTGCTGATTGGTAACGGCACCCTTCCTCATCCACTTGGCGGTTCAGCCTGTAATAGACTTGGCCTGCGTGCTCTCTGCACCTGTCCTGAATGATGCACTGCAGAGAGAAGAGAGGCGGGTGAAAAAAGGAATAGATAGAGGAGGAAAACGCAGCAACTCCCCCCCTCCTCTTCATAGCACATGCCATATTTTGTCTGTCACAGCAGAAAAAAGTGCTTCTTCCACACTCACGCTCTCCCCACCGTGTTACCCTTTCATGCCCTCGTCGCATCATTAAAACTCAAGGGTGTTTACGTGCCGATGTCTGTGTCCATTAAAGTGTGTGTTTTAAGGTGTGCTGCAGTAGTAGAGTGTATGTGTGTGTGTGTGTGTGTGTGTGTTTGTGTGTGTGTGTGTGTTTCAACTGTTTTTTTTCCTCCCTTTGGACAGCAACTCGACAGCAACTTGCTTAAACAGCTGCGCACCTTGTTTCCCTGCTGTCATCCTTTCCCTCTCTTCTTCCACTCCCCCCTTCTTTGCCTTTGACCTTCACGCACTACCCACTGTTTATGAGACCAAACCCAAACACACTGATTTAGTCTGAATCTGACTCCAATCTTATGCATAGTAGGATTGTGCTGTGCTATTAGCTGTAAGTGCAATTGAGGTTTTTCCTCTACCGACATCAATTGTAAACAAATGTGTCAGTTGTAATCCCTTGTTTCTATGGCCTCTATGTAGAGAGGTGAAAAGAAAGAGTGGAAAAATTGTTATTTAATGGATATCTGGGTTTTGCTTAAGCCCAGTATTCATGTATATGTCTGATACTCACCACTGACTAATAAATCACGATTTTATTTTTTCCTGTTCTGTCGTTTAAAGATAAAATATTTGAGATTGAATTTCTAAATGTCAAGAGTTCATGTAAATGTTCCTCTGTAACCTCTCACATTATGTATCCCTGCCACATCCCTTCTTTCTCACCCTTTTTCTCATAGCATCGTCCTGTCATCCCTCATTCCGTCCACCTTGTCACCCCTGCGAACTCTTGCCCCTCTCATATGTTGCCTCTCACCCCCCTCCCACACTGTACCCTGTAACACCATCCCCCCTCTCCGCCTCTTTGCCCCGACACATTCCTTCCACTTCACCCACTTTGCCATATCTCCACCTGCCTGTTTCTCACTCCTGCTCATCTCCTCCACCACGACGCAAGGACATCATACGTATCGTATCTGAGCATCTGCTCTCGTACGCTCTTTGTTTTGTTGAGCACGTGGGCAGTGGACGGCAAAGACTGGCCGTGGTTGTAACCCGTTTCTTTCTTTGTTTGTTCCTTGAGGTGGAATTGAACGCGTGAACAACATGTTAAATCCGTCTCTCTCTTTTCTTGTCTCCCCCAGTCTCAGTCTGCGAGCCTCCAGAGAATGTCAAAACAAGGAGCGCTTGTTGGAGCAGCGGTTCCGCACGGCCCTGAGGGACTTTCAGCAGTGGTTGGTCAACGCAAAAATCAGCACCGCCAAATGCTTTGATGTGCCACAGAGTGTCACAGAGGCCTCCGTTGCTCTGCAGAGGATCCAGGTAACAGATTTCTTTTAGCTTAGCTCTTATGGACATCTGTGAAATTCTTAATTAAATCAAATGTTTGTTATATTAAAGAGGAAAAAAAATACATTAAAATGTTGCTGAATATTAATAGGAATATATTCATTTTGTAATATCTTGCTTTATTCCTCTGAAGCACATAGTACTCATATTCCTCTAGTACATAATACTCATTCATAATCTCATGTCTGAGAACTACGACTCAGCCGGGTCATGTAATCTTTTAACCACTGGCTTTTATCCAGGTCTGACAGTAAGGAGCTGTTGACACTGACGTTAAGGGACTGTAGTTTTTTTACTTACATAACCAAGAGCTTTTAGCCTGTTGAGAGAATGAAATCAGCGAACGTTTGTCATGAAATTCTTTTCATCTTCTTCTGCCTCAGGACCTTAACTGCTACTTGAGAAGCAACCCACGTTTGGGTCCACGTTAAATCCACAGTTGCTAATTATAAACCATAGCAGTGTTTTAATATTTCATGCGTGCATTTCTCGAGCTAACTAGACAAACTTTGTAACCAAGGGAAACAATCCAGTCGTTGAAAAATCTATCTTCTTTAAATGGAAGATTGCTCAAGGGGGATGTCAGTATTGACAGGCACTCTGTCAAGGGTCCTCTGGTGGGCTTGTAGTAGAGGCGGGACCTGCCATGGGCTGGATAAGCTGGGAGTGGGCACACTTCCAAGAGGGAGAAGAGAGAGGTCCACAGCGGGGTCTCTCTGCCATTCTCTTCAAGAATATCTTGTGTGTGTGTCTCTCTTTCTGAGGACGTGTCTTTTCTGGGAAGCTGGCAGGTGCAACAGTCTGGCAGCCTCTTTAGAGCACCCCAGGACCCTGGCTAAGAGTCAGGTGCTTGTCAGTTAAGGTGGACGTCTCCACATCCCTGCACCAGATAGTTAATTACCTCTCAGACACCTGACCACGACGACCACTACGCTACCACCGAGGAATTGTGGTTTTCTTTATCCGTCTTTTCAGAAGTTTCTGCTCCATTTTTGAGAATGAGAGAGAATGTCATGGAGTGTATGGCAGCAGAGGAAAGGGAAACATGGGGGCGGTCATATTTTATTTATTATTGACTTGGTGAGGAATGTAGAACAATGTTTCCACATGACTGACCTCCAGGAGGGCTGGAGTGAAGGGGCGGGGGCATCCATTGTGTCACAGTTAATTGGTGGTATACAGTTACACATGGCAGAGGCAGAACGGCGGTAAGTGTGAAAAAGACGGTGAATGGACGTAGAAGAGAAAGAGAAGAGACAGGCGGATGAAGAGAGACTTTCTATGCCTGTGTGTGGCTGTACTGTACTAAGTGAGTGTGTGTTTGTGTGTGTGTGTCTGTAGCGTGTGTAAGTGATGTGCTGACTGCACAGATGGTGGAGTGGTCCCTGCTGCGCTACTGTCATCGACTCAGCTCTGAGGGGGGGTGGTTGGTCTGTGTGTGTGTGTGTGTGTGTGTGTGTGTGTATTGTGGGCGTGTATAGACGAGATGTAAAAACCAACACATTTCAGGCTCGCTGCCTTTCCTTATATGTGATTGCCTCCCTGGGTCAGGCCTCTTCTTCTACCCACGCATATGGAATTAGTAATGACTCGGTCTAATTACTGCTTTTTACTCTAGGACACCAAAAAAAACTGTGTCTATGGCTGTATTGATTTCAGTTACCCATCAGCCATTGCATCAGAAGAGAAGACAAAAAGACATTTCAGGTTGTCATTCAGGTCTTTTCCTTTTTTCACCTCCTTTAACTTTCACAGCCTCCTCCCTTTATGTCCGTGCATGTGTTAAATAGTCTCAGTTCCTTTGTCTTTGTCTGTGAATCCCCACAGGAGTTCCTGAGTGACAGGGAACATGGCCAGGCCAGGCTGAGTACAGTAGGAGCCAGTGGGGAGCTGTTGATGGCCGTGGTGTCCAGAGACAGAGTGGAGGGGCTCAAGGCCAAAGTGGCAAATGCGAGGGACGACTGGAAGAGCCTGATGAATAACCTGCAGATGAGGGAGGATGCACTTAAGGTTCGTTCACACTTACTTTTATTTCCATGATGCTTTTGTCTCTGCTCTGAAAAAGAAGATCTGGATCTCAGAGGGACTTTATAGTAAAATAAAGGTTTCGATTAACTCTCTGGTGGATTTAAAATGAATGCAGACTTAGTATTTCCATACAGTTTGGTAATGTTTGTCTGATTTCCTGCTGTCTACCTCTTTATTTACACTGTTTATATACAGAAGTGTTTTGGTATTTTGGTTTAATTTGATAAATTGTTAATTCTAACCCTGTTTCAGTTGGTATACATATAGAAACATTGATATGGATCTGACAGTGTAAGGAATAAATCATTTTATTTAACTATTAATATTCCCAATTTATCTATTAACAAGCAATGAACTTTTTTCTAGTTGTATTTGAATGGTTATAAATCATATTTGTTAAGTTATATATCATATTTGATATTTCCAGAACCTGCAGTCCCAGATGACAGAGTTTGAGGCCAGTGCTGAACCTCTGCAGGACTGGCTAAACACCACAGAGGTCAGAGTTCAGGAGAGCAGTGCTCGGCTACACGACCTTCCAGCCAAGAAGCAGGAGCTCAGCAAACTACAGGTATTTCTTTTGGAGCTCAAAGTCATTCTTGCGTTCTTATCTGAGGTTCATTAACCTTTATTCCTCACAAAATCCCTCACATTTGTATTACATTTCTCCTGTAATTACTGTGGCTAATGATGAGGCCATCTGTTAGTTTAACATTATTTTAAAGCCACCATCTCAAAGCAATATGATTTGCACTTTATTAGAATATCTCCATCCATCCTGTAGGATCCATTGTCCTTTAAATTACATCATGTCACACTGAGAGCACGCCTCTACAGTTCTCTGCTGCTATCATGGACATCCTCTCATTTCCTCTCTTAACTCAAGTAAACCGTGGCATAAATTGAATATTAAGTCGATTTTCCAAGGACACTAAATAGTTGTAGCTCTCCATCAGATACGGATCCCTGAAGTACAATCTGAAATCAGCAGGGAAAAGAAAAGGGCCCTAATTACATTTGTTGAGCACCACTGGATCAAAATAGAGCCGCGTCTTGACACAATAGTCAGAGGAAAAGTCCAGAAATCTAATTAATTCTCCCTCTGTCGCAGCTGAAGCGCAGCGTGGCTAAAAGGCCCTTTTCAGGATGCGATAACAGCCTCTGCGCCATGTCTGGCAGAGACAAAAAAAAGGAAGAGAGGCATGGAGCGTTAAAAAGATAAAACTGACAAAAGAGAGAAACAAAATATATCAAGCTCATCTCAAAGCTCTGCCCTTATCATTGTTGCTATTTTTGTATTGACTCTGTCGCCTGCTGTAGCACTTCTCCTGGTCGCCCTTTGTCTGGCCCTGCAAGCAATTACATTTTTTCCCCCAGCACCTGAAGTACAATACAGTACACGCAGGCTTCAGTGTCTGAGCCTGTGTTGGCAAAAATCCTCTTTACCTTTTCAGATACTGTATACAGTACGCAGTATTTTTATCAGGCTGGTCTCCACGCCCTGTTCTGTGCCATCTCACTGAATAACCGTGTTTCTATTTAAAAAGGAACATCAAGAGAAATGCTGCTGATGCTCTTTTTTACAGTGTTCTTTCCCCGTCTTCATGCGTGTATTTTGATGTGCTCTTGTTCTGTCTGTTCTTGTGTCATGTTAACCCAACCCTGTATCACTCCTTTGTGCCTCTCACACCTCCTTCTATCTGTCTCCACACACACGCCACGTCACATTTTTTGTCATTTCATTTTTCCCCTTGACTCAAAATGTTATGCCACTTACACACATCCATCCTATCCATATCTTTCACCTTTAACCATGCACGCTCCAACTGTGCTTCCCGACATCCTACTGCTCCTTCATCTCCATTTTCCATCTCCTCCTCCTGTCTTATATCGGGCCAGTGTGTTCTGGAAGAGATAGCCAGTCAGGAGGCAGAGCTGGGCAGGCTGAGGGAAAGCGCTCATCGTCTCTGGGAGGGACAAGCAGCTGGCAAGGGCTTCGTCCACCGTGTGTCCCAGTTGTCAGCACAGTACCTGGCCCTCAGCAACTTAACCAAGGTAACACTGTCCCCACCTCGTAACCCTGTGCCTTATTTTCCTTTTTATCTGTGCTTCTTTCTGAGAAACGCTGCGGCAAGCTGAAATGTGCCTTGCTTGATTCATGTTCTGTTTGTGTTAAAACTATGCAGCCTTCTGTTCTAATGTTGTTCACGGTTGTTCTGTGTATTTTGGTGTGTCATGCACTTTTCCCCCAGTTGCACATCAGTCATGGCTGCTGTAATCGGCTTGCCCCAGGTGAAAATATTGCTCCTCTGAATATCTCCATATTCAGAGTAATTTACCTGAGTATCTATTTTTCACCGGCACCTTCATGGTCGTGGCCTCATCAACATAAAAAAGGCAGAGGCTGTTGAGTTTACCTTTCTGCAGTGAAGCACTTCTAAAATGCCAAGGCTGAAATGTGTCAGTGCTGGAGGATCTGACCTTTCTGAAGCTGTCATTAGATCGGTCACACTCTAATGATTTATTTGATACAGCATAGAACTAAACATTACACAGACCGAGAAGCACCATCCTCTTACCACAGGACAATGAGAGTGCCCCAACAATGATGAATGGGATTTATTTACTTTGCTGGCTAACTAGTGGAGCGCTATTTTTAGGTCCTCTTCCCTGCCAGACATGGAAACAGGAATGAAATCATTTAAAATTGCCCCTCGTCAATTGTTATTCTGGCTCTGCCTTTCCCGACATTACAGCTACACAGATGTTGAAGATGTACAAGTGATGATTTTGTGTGCGTGTGTGTGTGTGTGCAGAGTTGTGGGGGTGGGAAAGTCTCCAGAGACCTGTGAGTGACTTGATTTTACAAACAGACCAATACGAAGACATTGTTTTTTATGATCTGGAACACAGTTGTGTTTTCAATATTTAACCAACTGCAGATTATAACCATTGTACGACTTGAAGAGTGTTTAAAGAGCTGTTTTTTAATTCTTTTAAAGGACAAAGCCTCCAGGATTGAACGAATCGTAGGGGAACACCGCCTCTTCTCTCAGGGTCTTAAAGAGCTGCAGGATTGGGTGTGTGAAGCTCAGAGGGTCCTCAGCACCTGCATATCCGCCACCACTGACAAGGGCGTGTTGGAGGACCGGATGTTACAGCTGGAGGTATGGAGGGGGAGAACATGGGTGCGGGATCCCATAAAAAAATATGCAACAACTTGGGGTTATTCGTTAATATTGGACACAACAAAGTATCCATGTCAGTTTGTGATGATTAAAGGAAGGTCTAGAAAGATTTTACATTCAAATACATGTAAAGTATGAAAAGAAAAGCATCCAGTCAACAGGGGAATCTGGTGGAACAGAGAGGGACATTATATTTACATATTTAAAATAAGAAACAAGTTCTATTTATAGGTAAACATAGTACAGTAAAGGTCAGCTTGTGTGTTTGTGTTACTGCAGTAGATTTCTCATTTCATATCAAAGGTACAGTAGCATCTTGAGACTGCAGCAAAATCAGCAGATCATGATTGAACTCACTTTTTTTAATTTCCTAGATAACAAAATAAAGTTATGTATCTTTTGTATTTTATCTCATGTATTTTCTTTTGTCTCGTCTGCAGGCCTTACTCGCTGCTCGCCAGGAGAGAGAGATCCAGCTAAAGATGCTGCTGACGCGGGGAGAAGCGGTCCAAAGAAACACTTCGGCTGAGGGCGTCCCGGTGATTCGCAAACAGATTCAGGACCTCAAGGACTCGTGGGATTCCCTGCTCTCTGCCTCCATCCAGTGTAAAAGGTTGTGATCATGAACTGTTCAATCTGTCACACAGTTGAGAAATACACTAACTGTCTGGTTTCTCTCGATGGATTTCAGTTAGTTGAAATGAATAATTGAATTTAACTGTCGGAACGTATAGAATGCATGTGTGTGTGTGTTTTTCTGTCTGTTGCCTTTGTTAATGTCATTTTGTTTATGGTCACAGTCAACTGGAGGGAGCTCTGTCGCAGTGGACCAGCTATCAGGAGGACGTAGGTCAGTTTGTGTTGTGGATGGACCGTGTGGAGGAGACACTGAGCTGCTCGGACAGACAGTACTCAGAGATGAGAGACAAGACTGCAAACCTGGGAAAGACCAAGGTATCACTTCCTGCTAGATTCCAGATTCAAGATTCAAGATTCAAAGATTAAACTCTACAAAACATCCTGTTTGTTGTTGTTTTACCAGACATCTTTAAATACTGAGAAGTTTCTTTTTTGCAAACTTTTATAATCAAATGTCCTACTTCAAACTCATGCAGCTGCAGACATTTATACCCCAGAGCCTCCCAGTGGAAATGGATAAACTGCAGCAAGTGTTCGCACGTGTTCTTATTCATTCCAGCTTCTCTATGAGGAAGTACTGAGCCACAACAGTCCTCTGGAGACCATTGCCACAAAGGGGTCCAACATGGCTGAACACTACACTACGCAGCAGGAAGTGCAGCAGCTGCAGTGTCGATACAACGCTCTCAAAGAAAAGGCCAAGGTACTTCCCCTCAACATATGGTTTCATTTTTTGCCTCTGCATAATGGATGATTATTTTGAAAATGTTTCTCTGATCGCCCACTCCATGTGGCTCCATAAATCACAATTACATTCACACACAATCATCCTAGAGAGTTTGACCCATTGTTCCCTTTTTTTGAAAATATTTGTTTAAGTCAACATCAAACCTTGAAGTACTTTGTCCTGTTTGAGCATTATTACATCATGATTTCCAAAACACAATTTAGCTACATTTTCAGTTATATATACAAAAACGACATGGCCCTCTGCACCTGTAATATTAAATGGGTTCCGGTAACGCCTCCAACTTGCCGTCTTGCAGAATGCAGTCAGTAAGGCCAAGAGTCTGGTGCTGGTCCACCAGGAATATCAAAGGGAGCTCCATGTGTTTGAAGACTGGCTGGAGCAGGAACAGGCTTCTCTGGCCTGCTTGACCCACCGAGAGGGAAACGGGGATACAATAGAAAACACACTGCAACAGCTACAGGTACTAATACTGTGGATTTTAGTGATGTAATGTAATGTTCAACAACAGTGTAAAGGAAAGCTTCCATTTTCTTCCTCTCACAGCTCCTGCAGGATCGCTGCTCAAGCGGTCAGTCTTTGCTCTCCTCTGTGCTGACCAGCAGAGAGAGAGTAATCCCCTGGGGAATCCCACAGATCGAGGACCGAGCCCTGGACACAGCTCAGAGAGAGTGGGGGGCCTACCAGGGTCGCCTGGAGGAGACTCAGGCCCAGCTGAGGGCGACGCTGACCAGACTGAGGCAGATGGGCCAAAGGTTCCTGAGCCTGGCCCAGTGGCTCGAGGAGCTGGAGAAGGTGGCAAACATCAGACGTCATCGGAGGTCGGACAGAGCCACAAAACAGACTCAGCTGAAGAAACTCCAGGTCAGTGAGAGACTGGTGCTGCATCTCAAATTGGATACTTACAGTTCTCACATGTAGTACACAGTGTACTCGTAGGCTGTGGATTCCAGCAGGGTACTGCTATCTCAAATCAAAACATGGCTGGTGTGTGTTCCCTTGAAAAGACAACACACATAGATTTTTCCTTTGAAAATAAAAGTTATGAAGTGTCCTGGGGCCTTGCACCACAATACATCACTTTTCTAACTCATGTGCAAGCTCCATTCACAGCATGTTTGAGGGAAAACAGCGGTGGACAGAGCATTTGCCCACTGGGTCTCCTCCCTTTGGAGCACACTTCCTGCCAGTGTCAGGATGTCAGACAGTCTCAGTGTTTTCCTTCCCTATATTTAGACACACACACACACACATACACACACACACACACACAGACCTTTTGGCCTTTATGAGGCTTCTTTTCTTTAAAACATATCTAGCAGTAACAATAATCTCTAATATTCACTGGGTTTAACTAAAACCTGATAACTCATACATACCTCTATGTCCCTTGTGAACAGGGGTGTCTTGAGGCAGTACTCGCACGGCAGGGAGAGGTCGACGGCCTCTCTTCTCTGGCCCAGCAGGTTCTGGAGGAAACCTACATCAGTAGTCGTGTTAGCGTCACTGCGACCCAGCTCACTGCCCGCTACCATTCACTGCTGCTCAACATACAAGTAAGACACTCTGTCCAAAGGTGATTAGGTCATATCTGTACATTTACTCTGTGGAGTTTTTCCAGCAATAACTGCTTTTGTGGTCTTACATCAGTTTTTCCAATGGATGGATTTCATCATACCAGATGTGTGATACCTGTTGATAGAAGTTCTTTTAATATTTCAAATCATAGAAATGTAATAGTTGTATAAATATTTTGTGACATATTCCGAAATTATTGATGTCAAACCGTATGTAGAGGACACTGTTACCCACATCATTAGATGTAATACCTACTCTCTGTAGTCTAATCATTAGTAACAGTATTATTTCCTTACTGCGCAATACTGGATTTCCTGTCCACCAGATTATTTTCCTGGACCTGTCATCGTGCTTTCAGAATATCAAAATATAACAGGGCTTCTGCAGTTTAGTTCAGTGACATTCACATCCTTTTTAAAACCCACATAGAATGAATTATTTGTATGAAAGTATTTTGGAAAACTAATTGGGGCTGAAGATTACTACATATTTTCAGTGCCTGTCAGCAGTATATAACAATAACAACAACAATGACAACCCTTAAATTGTCATTTATTCTAACACAATTACTTGTTGCAACATTTTCATTAATTAAACAACAGCCTTATGTATCCAATATAATGTATTATATATATAATTTAAAGCCTTTCTTGAGGCCTGCAGATTCCCCAACATTATTTCACAAAGTCACAATGACCTATGTGAAGCCTGAATCACTCTTGTGTTGTCTTGTAATCGTTGTGTTATGCTGTTTTAATCAGAAATGTAAACTTCATGTGTATTGGCAGTGTAGCCTGCAGTGAGCTTTTCACACAAGATTATTCTCTCTCACCATGGAATTTACTCCCGTGAGTTAGGATCGGTTTCTGTAACGCCCCATTGAAGTTGAGCGTTCAGAGTTTTGCCTGAGAGCCCAGTCTGTGTTGTTGTGTGTACTTGGATCTAGCCTCCCTATTTGCTCCTCTGAGGGAGACTAAAGTAAAATCAATGGGGCTACCCTGGTCTGGGGCTAAGGCAGTAATTAAAGACTACAGAAGGCAATCTCACACCCGGTGCCAGGAGCGGAAAAGCTTTGCCTGCACTACATTGATTTTTACACCTTTAGTATCACATCTGAGTGTGTGTGTGTGTGTGTGTGTGTGTGTGTGTGTGTGTGTGTCTGTGTGTCTGTGTGTCTGTGTGTTTGTTTGTGTCTGTGTGTTTCCCCACCACTCCCTCACGTTGTTTCTCTATCTCTTATACCCACCCCTTCCTTCCCCTCTCAAATTCAAGCATGCATATACTTACCATCATGCCAACACACATGCGTGCACACATCATCCCTCTCCAGCCATGGATGCCTGTAATTACACTGTGTGAAGTGGGGGCCATATGGGCTTGGGGTAGGAAGCTATTACCACCGTCTAGTCAGAAAAGGTGTGCACTCAGCACTATCAGCTAATTGGAGGTTCTCACCACAGGATTTGCAAGTAGAGTGAATAATGTGTCAAACCTGCAAGAAACCCTCTTCATCCTCATGGTGTTATTGACTCAAAATCTCAGTCAAGTGAATAATGTGTCAAAAACATAAAGCCCCTCTCCACCTTGTCATGCAGCTATTGACATTGAGCAGATGAAAGAGTACAGAGGGGAAACGGATATTTTCTGTTTTGATGGCTGATCAGAGAGGTTTCGGTCCTCGGTGGCCAGTGTGAGGCTGCTGGGGGCAGATCTCTCACCTTAAAAGGAAGGATCACACCATGTTTCCTGAATATTCCCCGGACGGAGCCGCAGAAACAAAAAGAAGGCAGTGTTTGTTGTTGTAAGGTTATTTACCGTTATGTTCATATTGTGAAATATGTTGATTTATTTAACATCAAATATATTATAGGTACAGTATATCAGTCATGTGGTCTAGTCTACTGCCAGTGATGCCTCATGCACATAACTGTACATATAGATATATATATATATATATATATATATATATATATATACATATATATATATAAAACAGCATCTTTGAAAATCCTCCATTTGTTGAATTTCTCCTTTTACTTTTTACCTGATAATTTTTCAGGACACCATCAAGCAGCTGCAGGAGGAGCTGAGGAGTATTGAAGAGGCAGAAAATCTTTGCATGTCGTTCACCGACTGGCTCAACTCGACTCAGAAAGGCTTCACGCTGTTGACTGATACTTCTGAGCCTCTGGACCGGGTCGCCATGGAGAAGAAGCTGAAGAAAGTAGAGGTATTGATTTATTTACCTTAATATAAAGTGTATGTTCTTTTGGGTTAGATGACTTTAAATTTCACAGTCACAGCGTTAAACCTACCTTTGGATAGAGGTGCCAAATATATTACATAAATAATATTAAAAAAACTACAAACAAGACCAACATGGAACTGATAACTGAATTTATCTCACACTCGGCTGTGGGAATGGCTACCTTCTGTCTCTGCCTGTAGCTTGTGAGATAACTTGGCTACTTCACCTTCCCTTCAAGTATGGGGACGTGTGAGTAATTCTGAGACTCTGATATTCCTTCATATGCTACAATGTGCTTGAACTGTAAAATATGAATGATCTTTCTGAAAGGCCAGCAAAACTCTCTGCCTATAATATTTTGACTAGATTAAAAGAAACTCACTGTAATGGCTAAATTATAACAGTTTCTCTTTGTGCTGTTTTGTCAAATTGGCATTAGCGGGAAGACGTCCTGCTGAAACATACACATTGCACACTGCATTACAGAGAAAATCACCACTAAAAATTATTATCATTTGGCACAGTTCATATCGAGCGTTTGGAGGATTAGATGAGTGTGTGTGTGTGTGTGTGTGTGTGTGTGTGTGTGTGTGTGTGTGTGTATATGTGTGTGTGTGTGTGTATCGATCTGCTCTTTATGAAGACAAAGCGGGTGCCGCTTTAGAGGAATTGGGTAGCAGGGAGAGACCTCCCACTGTGAGGCAGAGGATGAAGAAGCGCCGGTGTCAGGAGCCTGCTGGCACAGACACTGTAATTGATGCAGTGCCCTTACCGCTTCACAACTCTTACACACACACACGCGCTGCTCTCCTCCAACATACCACAAAACCCATCCAAAGTATTAACTAACAAGCTGCAGCGAACTCTCAAACTCACGAGACCCTCTGTGATTTCACACAATTCTTTCCACTTCGTTTTTTTTTACCCCTCACTGCATCTCACACCTCTTTGTCTTCCTCACACACGTATCCAGAAATGCACACATAGACATTTACAACACATCATCTGGCGTGGGGCTTTGAGGTAATCCCTGTCTGGGATCGATGCTCGTTCTCTGCATAGGGACTAAAGATATGCTGTCACCACATGTGTCCTTCCAGCTCTGCAGATAACACACAAATCATCATTTTCCCAAAGTGAGAGCTGGTATGATTACACATTGACACAAAGAGTAGTTGTCAATAGCTGTGTCAAGGGCCATTAACTGGGTTTGGACTTCATTTGATATTGAGTTGGAACTGTCAGACAGCACCGGTGGGCCACATCAGCCAGAAATACGCTTCAATAACATACTTGAAACTTCAAGATATGTGAAAGTACAGCATAGTAAGATATTTGTTCCATCATATTTCTTTATTGAGGTATATTACTTGATTTATTTTTTAATTTATAAACTGGTTTCTCTCACCCTGAGGGCTCCAATAAGCATCTTCCAATCACTGGCTCCTGCAAAATAATGTCAACAGGGCAAATTGCAAAAAATGCAAAAAAAAAAAAAAAGTGAAGGCTTTTTCCTCCTTCTAATTAATCCACCCCCTTCCCTTCCCCCAGCCACATTTTAATTTAATAAATGTTCAAGGGCGTTTCTACCCAAAGTTGTCCTCAGATTCTCAGATGCAGAGGGACACAAAGGTAAACTGCTCCTTGTACAGATTTCTTATTAGAAAGAATAAATGCCTTTCATATAACACATACGCAGCCACGGCTCTTGATGATTTAACCAATAATTTTGGTTGGGGCTTTATGTTGCTGTTTTGCTGCAGTCCATACACTCAGAGAGACGATGGCAGCGGTGTTAATAAACTGCTCACAGGGTCACCTTAGCAGTGCTCTACCTCTGTTAGTGTGGTTGTCAGTTGCCACAGTAGATGTATTCCAGTAGATAATGGAGCCTGAGAACTGATGCAGAATAAGAAACAGAGAATCGCAACTGCTCATCAGCGGGCGCACAAGACCCTTGACATGGATAATAGGGGTCGACATGGTACACGTTAACAGGATAAAGGGCTCGCTGTGTCTCTGATGCACTGATTGTATTAATGACTGCTGCATTGTAGTATCGGCAGCCAGTATAGAAGATATGTAGTGACATGATCTCAAGCAGGTTTCCGTCCTTCAATCTACAACTAATTTCATCCACAGATTGGCTGAAAGACAAAACTGAGGAAGTTATGAGTCGTTATTTAATATTTCTAGTTATTATTTTGACATAGATGCTGAATGGAACTGTAGAAATATCCATCGGAGGTTTAAATGGTTCTTAAAATAGTCCTGGATCATTAGGTTTTGTTAGTAGAGTGATGAACATGCCTGGAGCTTCTTATTAAGCAGCAAACACGGATGTGTGAAAACATGCACAGCTCTTGTTATACTATATATTATATTATCAGCCGAAGTAGCTGGAGGTCTGGGGTTGTTGCTGTGTGGAGCTACTCTCGGCTGAAGCAATAATAGACGATGATGAAAGCTAGATGGCGTCCCATCGAGTGGATGTCTTGTGTGTGTGTGTGTGTGTGTGTGTGTGGTGTGTATTGGTTGCCCTGGAAACCCCTGCAGCTACCCTTGCCTGTTAAGGGTCCTTATAATTGGGTCGTCCTTTCATATTATTCACTGCGGTTTCCCCACTCCATGACCTCCCAGTCTTCTCCACACCTCACCGTGCAGGTGTCAGCCTACCTGATGGGTTCAAAGTCTTTCACTGCCAGGCCGGTCTGGGCGACTGGGGCAGCTCTGAAGGTGAAGGACAAAGAAATTAGTGATACTGTCTTTGAATGTTATTCTTAAAGTCATGGCTGCTTTGATAGAAGGATTTTCTCATCTCATGTTTGGTAAATTAGTACAGAGGAGTAGTCTGTTTTTATTTAATGCAGCACCAAGGGGCTTAGGGTTATTAAGTGTAAAGAAATGGTGATAATCCTATAACAGCACCCATGCTGAGCTGTATTTCTACCCTCTCTTTCACCCAGGCTCTTCAGTCAGAACTCCAGCATGGCCACAGCTTCCTGAAATCCCTGAGGGAGCGGGCGGAACAGGCAGCAGGAGTCCTGGACGAGACCGGAGCTGAGAGTTTAGGAGGGGAGGTGGAGGGTCGTCTTGCCCAGCTGGAGGAGCTCGCAGGTGGGCTGAGGCAGGAGCACAGCTTTCTAGAGCGGGCCTTACTTCTGGCTAAGGAGTTCCAGGACCGGTACAAGGGACAGGCTCAGTGGCTGGTGGAGACTCGAGCTTTGCTCAACACCCCGGTGGAGCCCAAGGCTGAACTGTACCAGCGGAGAGCGCAGCTGGCTAAATATAAAGTAAAGCAACTTTTGAATTTCTTTTTTTTTTCTATCACGAGTTTAAAGTTCTACAGAGCATTGCATTGATGTCACTTTCAATTATTTTGGCAGCAGGATCTTACTGAAGATTATTCGATTATTAGACCACATGAGTGTCCTCGTATGTCTCAGCCCTCTAACAATAATAATTGAATATATTTTACATAACTGCTGACTATTTCCTGGAGAATACTTTTGCTTTTTATATTTATAAATGCTTGTTGAGATGGTTGAGGTGGTAGAATCAATTTGTAGAATAATTATTATCCTTCAGTACCGAGCAATCATCTAATACAACAGCATCTCTGCATAATGATGGTCATTACTCTATGCTAGATACAAAAGATTCACGTTCTCTCATGTACATCTGTATCTGCAGGCTCTGTTGCAGATGGTTCAGTCCCACGATGGATCCGTCAGGTCGGTGGTGGAGAAGGGAGATGCTCTGCTGGCCTCTGTCCACTACCCCTCCATCAGAGACAAAATGAACAAACTGCAAAGAGACTACGCTGAACTCTGTAAAAGAGCCATGGTGAGGATCTGTGCTGAGGTGACAGGAGTTATAATGTAAATAGAGGAACATCTTTTAATGCAGGAAACGTAGCTGTCCTTTATCTGCAGATGTACTGCAGATGGCGGATGGTGGTAAGGGTAGTTTGTTGCAGAAGATAATCAGTATATTTCTTTGCGTGTGTGCGTCTATGATGCAGGCACATGTGGAGAATCTGGACGGCCAGGTGAAGGAACAGGAAGCCTACCACAACGAACTCCAGGAGGTGGAGCGCTGGCTCCTGCAGATGTCCAGCAGGATGGTGACTCCTGATCCCACTGTGGGGGGTAGCTTGGAGGCAGCCACTCAACAGCTGGCCAGGCACAAGGTGACCAATCACATGACATGGTGTTAGTTCATATGATGCACGTCACACAATGAGCCTTGAACAGAGAGCAAGAAGTGGTTGCTTGCACTTATTGTCAAGGAGGTACCATGTTTTCAGACTTTCAGACAAAACTTACCTGTTGATTACAGTGGCAAGTTCAATAACATCTTCTTTCCCATGAACACTGAGGGTTATGAGATATTTTAATGTTTAAGGTTTATGAAATGTTGTTTTGAGTTCAATTTCAGATTTATAAGACTCATTCCGAAATATATCTATATGCAGATTTTAATATATCAACCATAGAGACTCTCCAACATGATCCCACTTACTTTGTGCTCCACAGGCCATCATGGAAGAAATAGCGGGCTTTGAGGATCGCTTGGCAGGCCTGAAGGAGCGCGGGGACCACCTGGTAAAAGGCTGCAGTGACCGTGTGCAGAGTCGGCTGAGACAGCAGGTCCAGGCTCACCAGCAAGGCACCAAAGACAGCTACTCTGCCATCTGTAGCACAGCACAGCGAGTGAGTGAGAAGGCGGAGGAGAAGAAAAGAGAGAGGGAGGGAGGGAGGGAGGGAGGGAATGCCAAGAAGGAGGAGAAGGAGGGCGAGGAGGAGGGTTTGGAAGCTGAGAAAGACATGAACTCAGACATGTTTGAAGCAGTGAAATGGTACTTACACATTTACAGTGTAAGACATATGACATATTGGTGCATTGGATACACTACACACATGCATGCATCCATGGATGTGTGTGTGTCTACGGGTACATGCACAGACACACATGCCCTACAAATCACCGCTGTTAATATTCCATCAGCCGAGGCCACTTAATTCTAACCCGTTCCAACACTTAAACCCATCTCTCAAGACAGCCAGCGTAGAGGGCACAACCAATTAAGGTTGCCAAAGTGGAGCTCAACAGCAGCCTTACCACAGAAAGACCCCACCAGCCAAAATCACTGACTCAATCTCCCCATATTAATCTCCGCATATCCCCCTGTCAACTTTACTTTTTCATGCATGAGCCAAAAATGGTCACACGCCACTATTCAGTAGTCTGGCGAGCCCGCTAATCCAGACCCGCTCTGTCATTTTGGCAACCTCCACTCTGTCATCATTGCTCACCTCCCAAGACACCACCACCACCACCACTCACACATCCAATCTGGCATTGTGTGATCCAGCCACACTTTACAAACTACACTGCTGGCTTCTCCACAACTGCGCCTCCAGTGTTACGACGGCTGCCAACTGTGTCCCAGCACAACACAGCTCTAATATCCTGCCTGCCACTTGCCACCATGCCAACCTTCTGGCTTTTGCCAAATACACTTGGCGGTTTGCCAATGGATCCCCCCCCCCCTTCATCCCTCTTTGGGGCTCTCATATTAACACTGTCAATCAGACCTTGCTGTTTTGCTCTCCCCTGGAGGGCATGGACATCTCCACATTCAACACCTGTTTAATATAACGAAACTGCCTTTTTGTTCAAGATTTATCATTTAATGTTTTCTCCGTGCAACACTGACATCAAAGCTACACAGTGCAGAATCGTGCTCTCTACCTGTGGTAGCATTTACTGTTTCTTATACTAACTGTATTTATTTTGTTGTTAAATTTTATTTCTCTCACTTTAATCTTTGTATAAAGATCATATAAGATCATACTACTAATCTATATTTTTTTTAAATCCACACTTAAATATATATGTCCATATCTTTGTCCACATCTCAACAGGTTTATCAGAGTCTGGACCATGAGTTACAGAGACACGTGAGTCTCCAGGACACGTTACAGCAGTGCCAGACGTGGATCACATCTGTTTCAGAACAACCAGAACCTCCTGCACATACTCCTCTCAGCTTGGAGGAGGCGCTACATCAGGTCATTAAACCCCTACACATTCCTCAACAAGAGTTTGGTATTTGGCAACATCACAAATTCTTGATTTCTTTACATGTGTTATTACCTCCTGAGATTGTTATCAGATCTTTCAATCAATAGTATTCATGTAGATGGCTGTTGTATAGCAGTATTTCATGGGGACTTAAAAAGGTAAAAAGTAAAGTAAGGTTTGGCAGATTGTCCTGATGGAAAATTGTCATCGCTCAACAGAAAAATAAAAACAGAGACTTTTTTGGCAGGTGAAACAGGAGCGAGCTCTCCAGGAGCAGGCCAACACTTACCTTCAACTCGTGTGCTCAACCTGTGACCTGTCAGAGCCGAGGGTCAGGAAAACTGCAGGAGCCATCCAGCAGGTCAAACTGCAGGTCAGTAGGCTTAAACAAGTCTTTAAACAATAGACTGACCACTACAGCTGCTAACACAAGCACTGAAGCATTATTAAAGCTTTTAAAAATTGAATGCTTTGTATGGAATTATTCCATTGATTTTTGTGTCTAGAATGAGGAGCGTATGCTGCTTTGTGAGGAGGTAGCAGACAGCTGGAGGGACATTGAGGAGCAGAAGGCAGATCTGGAGATCCAGCTGAGAGAGACAGAACAGCAACTTCAGACTCTTATCAGGAGACCTGCAGAGCTGGAGCCCAAGATTGCCCAAAACCAGTTGGACAAGGCACAGGTGGGTTTGGTCTGAAAGCTGATGTTCAAAGTTACTTCACTGTCATTGTTACAGTCTTCAGTACCTGCTATCTTTCCTGCAGGAGTTCCTGCAGCAGATTAAGGAGAGACAGTCTGAGGTAACCCATTTGAATGAAGCCATTTGTAGGCTGACAGATGGACAGGTCTCTCCTGCCCTGGAGGAGATAAGGAGACTTAGGAGAAGCTGGATGGACCTAGGCCAGCGGGCTGAGGAGCTGGAGGCTCAGCGGGGGGAGGACATGCAGCGAAGCGGGGAGTACCAGGAGAGTGTAGTAGCTGTGGAGGAACTCTTCCACCAAGTATCCAGGGAATGGGACTACCTCGCCAGGTAACAAAGTCTACTTTGTGGGATATGATGTGTAACTTTTTAGACCATACATACATTCTTCAAAAGTTTGATTTATATATTAGGACTTAATTAACCAGATGTCCATCAATCCCTGTATATATGTACATAGGGCTGACACAGAAAGTACAAGTGAGCATCTAGAGGCTCTCAAGAAGTTGTCAAGTGACCTGGGGGAGCAGAGAGCAACTCTAGAAGATGTCAGAGACCAGAGACTAGCAATTCTGCCTCGACTTAGCCTGCTAGACAAAGAGCTGGTCAAGCAACAGGTGGAGCTCCATTCTCTTATTCATCTGGTTTTCATCATGAGAATCTTCTTCATCTGGTTTTTAAAATGAGAATCTATAGTAACATAGAGTCTGTTCTGCTTCTCACCAGGTGGGTCACCTGGAGCAGCGCTGGGCCCAGCTCGAAACCCTGATTCAACAGAAGATCCAGGATTCTGCACAAACTCTGGAGGATCTGGCTCGGGTAGAAACCCAGCTGAGGGATGCCCGGGAGTGGGTGGAGGAGCAGCGGCCTGCGCTTACATCTGCGTTGAAAACCAGCCCACCCCCCGATCTGGCCCAGAGTTTTCTGTTTGACCACTTGAGTGTATGTGTGGAACTTGAGGCCCGTCAGCAGCTGCTGGGTCAGGCAGTCAGCGAAGCCCAGGCTGTGATGTCCAGGCTGGGGCTGAGTGAGAAAAGAGACCTTCAAGGGCTTATAGAACAAGCCCAGACTGAGGTGGAGGCTCTGGGGGCTCGGGTGACCCAGAGGAGGAAGTACCTCAGTAAGGTAAACAGCTGGATTTTTGAATGGGATGCAAGTCAAATTTTAATTATGCCCTAAAGGACATAACTTGCCTTACGTATGGGGACTTTGTTTTGAAGGAAAAATATGTTCGGTCTTTTTCTAGCTGTTAAGACTTTATGATTAATTTAAGTGTTTGATTCTTCCTCTGTAGGCCTTCACAGAGAGGACACAGTTCCTACAAGGCTTGGGGAGAGCATTGACCTGGGTACAGCAACAGGAGAGGAAAGCTTTAATCGATGACCACATAGCACTTCTCCCAGAGGACCTGACCAAACAGGTTGCTGCATGTCGGAGCGTCCAGAGCGGTTTACGAGCTTACCAGAGGGAGCTGGCATCTCTCTGGGTACAAGGGCAAGAGCTGGAGAGAGACGCCACCGAGAAAGAAAGAACAGAAACCCTGGCAAGACTTGATGAGCTACAGTCTGTCTTTGAAACGGCCCTCGAGAGGACCACTCAACGTCTCATGGACCTAGAAAAAGCCTTAACCTCTAGGAAGTACTTCCAGGTTGACCTGGACAAGACTTGCCACTGGTTGAGACAAGCAGATGCCATCACCTTCCCGGAAATCAATCTAAGCAACATTGATGAAAACTCCGAATTACAAACACAACTGTCTAACTTTCAAAATGTCCTAGAACAAGCTTCAGAATATGAGAACCTCCTTCTTATTGTCCAAAGAATAGGCCAGGAGATCCTTCGTACTCTCAATGAGATTGACCATTGCTACCTAGATGAGAGGCTTAATGCCCTGCCTCAGCAGTACAACGCCATCCTAGCTCTAGCCAAAGAGAAAAAAGACAGAGTCCAACAAATAGTCCTGGAGAGAAAAGAGTTCAGCACTTTCTTTGAAATTACTCGTAATGCACTGGAGGAGCTAAAGGAGCAGTTTGACAATCTGGAGAATCAGACTATCAGTATGAGAGAGGAGGAGGTGGTTTGTCTAATCAATGAATACAGGAATATTAATGAGAGTTTATTCCACATTAGTCCCTCTGTGAGAGAACTTCATGGAAAAAATGAGGGGTTCCTGTGCAGAGGTCAGCATTACAGAGCTGAAGAGACACAGCAGCTGATCAGGCTCCACGACACACTGAAGACGAGACATGATCAGAAAATGAAACACTTAGAGAACTGCTTAAGAGTTCGATTGGAACACAACAGAGTATGTACCAATACGGACTCAGAGTTAAAGTCTGTTAAAGAGAGACTGGTCAGCCTGAAGTCAGACAAAGATGTAGGTGCCATAGATAACATCACAAGTCTTTACTCACTGCTAGAAAGACTGGACGGTGTAATATCTCAGACTGAAGAATGTAACCATCAAACTGAAGGTCTTGGACTAAAGTTTGAACCCACTGCCTTTCAAGAAGCTACATCGCAGCGAGAATCATTGCGCTTGTTACGGAGTGAGGTGAAATGTTTTGTCGGTGAAAGTGAAACGAAAGTCACGAAAAAGGAAGATTTCACAAGAGAGACTGAGAAAACGCTGCAGTGGCTGAAGACTATCAAGGACAAATTGGAGGAGCCGTTGACCTTTTCAGAGGTCAAAGTTGAGAAGGTACACGAGGAAGTGCGCACACTGAAAATCATAGAGGAGGAAGTGGGAAGTAGATTGAGGATGATGGATGCCTTGGGGAGCCGAGAACAGCAGAAGTATTGTAGTAGAAATGAAACTGTCCCAGCACAGGTGGAAAAGAAACTACAGGAGGTGGCGAACCTGGGAGCCGGAGTTCAGGAAGGCGTAAGAAAGAAACTGGTAGGTGTGCGTGTTACTCAGAAATTACATTCATGGGGAGATTTTCTATCCTTTTATTTTTCTAATTATAGAAAACACACACCCTCAACTTATCAGGAACCTCATTTATCATTCATAAATATTGATTTCCATTTAATTTAATATTATTAGGCCTGGGGTAAGTTGAAACATTTGACTGAATAAGTGAACTGAATAAATTATAGTCAATGTATAACTGTTGTGGGGATTCAATGTGTTTAAATAAAATATTCTATTGAATCAATGATGGCTGAAGTTAATCAAAGCACCTTCTGCCCATTCTAGCTGGCTGTGGATAGAGCTTCTCCCCTGGTCCAGAGGCACCACTTATCTCTGCAGACCATGCAGAAATGGCTGGACTCTGCTGCGGCTGTGCTCCTGAGGGCCAGCTCAGGGTTGGAGCTGGAGAACCAGACAGATTGCGTGCGGGACCTGGAAGAAATTTCCGCCCAGGAAAAGAGTTTCACTGTCGCTTTAGAAGAGCTGAGGACTCTGGATCCTCTGCTGAGGGATTTTACAGAAGCAGGAGTGAGGAGCGGAGAAAAGGTTGAGAAGATGAAGCTGAAAAACACAGAAGTCAAACGTCAACTGGATGCTTACAGAGAAGTGTTGCAGAGGTGTGTTTTAATGTCTTCATATGTCTACTATTATTAATTCCTCTTCAGTATGTGGAGCCAATTAATGAAAGTATCCTTGTGAAGTTAATCTTCTACATCTACATTTAGATTTATTCAACATTTCTTCTTCTATATTTTTATGTAATTTTCTTAGGTGTGACGTTCTTTGGAGATCCTTCCAACTTGAGAGGGAGGCGCTGGTTAAACAGATGAACGATGCAGAGAGCAAAATGGCCTTGTTCACCACATCTAAAGCCACCAGCATCCAGCAGGCGGAAGACAAGTGTCAGAGATACAAGGTGGGTCGCTGTCGTATTGAAAACTGAAAACAGAAACATTGTAGTAAAGAGATATTAGTACATATTCATAGCAACAGTCTGCCTAGAATGTGCTGTGTCCCTCATGGCTGCGATTTTAAATTCCAACATTAATTCTTGTCATGGCAGCAGATGCGCATTAATATTTCATCAGTTGAGTGTTTATGCATTATTCCTTATTTTATTGCTTGTATCTGTAAAGTTGAAAGTTTTAGTGGAGAGTTATAGTTTCCCATGTTATAAATCTTTCATGGAAATGTGTTTATGGAATAACTCATCATGTGTCTTTTGCCGTCACCTTTTGACTCTGGTGCAGTCTCTGGTGGATCACATCGACCTGCTGGAGGTGCCTCTTAATGCATTGAAGGAGAATGCCGCAGAGTTAGAGACGATCGCTTCCGAGTCCAGCAAAAGTGTCACCAGCCACTCTGTGTCATCGCTATGGCAACGGTGGACCAGGCTACGCAGTGTTGCCCGAGCCCAGGAGAGGGCACTGGAGGATACAGCCAGGGAGTGGAGGAACTTCACAGAGAAGGTGAGAGAAGAAAACCGTTGATGTGTTTGAGATGTCCTACAAGATTCATGTTCAGTGTGTGCGTATGTGTCAGTACGCTCGTGCAAAGTTAACTTTATATCTGTGGTTAAAGTGCTTCAGTTTATATATAGTTCATGTACCGCATAAAACTGCAGCTGAAGCATGTCCAGTGTGAAGCCACAAAACAGTGTTTACTGACAGAACTGTTTATACTCACCTGTATTTTATAGCCAGTAAACACACACACGTCTACCAAACTGTTCTTGCCTCTGCAGATTTAGGTCAAACACAGCAACAGCTGAATACCACTTGGTGTGCTGTGATGTAACTCCAGGCTTCAGGCCCGTTATTCTCTCCTGCCAAAACATTGAATCATACCAAGTGTTTTCCCGCCTTTTGACCTATTTTGAGTCTGAATGCCGTCAGTTCCTGAGAATTCTCTCAAAGCGCTGCTCCTAAAAAGGAAATGAGGTCAAGCTGTAATGAATGGTCACTTCCTCATATGTGGCACATCGCTGTTGTCCACTGGTTTTCTATGGTGCCTTTGTTCAGCTGGATGTGACGTCATCCTCTACATTTCAGTCTCTGTACTCTTCTGTCTGTGTCTCTCAAAGAGGATACTGTGGAATGTATAGGCAGGACTTTGACAGATTATTAGTGAATTTATTTAGTTATTTCATGACTTCTAGATGTAAGGAGAGGTTGAAATACCTGCCCATCTTCTCCTTTTAAACATCTCATCCCATTAGATTTATGTTTTACCTGCATCCATTGTTAGAACCTCTGCTTTGTGTGTCCCCATCAAACTGGTTAGTGACCATCCTTGTCCACAGAAACAAAGACTCTGTAAACACATCAAGATCCCTAGATCACTGGGATAGAAGACTGTCAGTAGCATGATAATATTCAAATGTCATCTTTCAGTCAAATGAAGAAGCAGAGGAGTTAATTTGAAAAGTCCACTGGAGTAATTCTCCACTTTCTCCGGAATAATCGACCATAAATCTGCTGCATCAACTGAACCTGAATCCCCGTACGTTCACTTCTCTGGCTCCACAGATGGAGAAGGTGCGCTCGGTGTCCAAAGACCTCCACACGCGTGTCCCAGACAGCACCGTGGAGAAGGCTGCCACCAGGACGGCACTCCAGAGCCTCCTGGAGTACCATGACTCCTTCAGCCAGGAGGTGGAGAGAGAGCAGTCAATCCTGGCCCTGCTTGGGCAACACACCTGCAGCCTCAGAGGAGAGGAGGAGAAGAAGGAGGTGGAGAAAAAGACAGAGAATGGACAGGAGGAGACACCGTGCCTACAGGAGATCAAAAGTATGCAGGAGCAGTATGACAGGTGAGAGTCCATTTTATTTTACTTTATTCTTGTGCAAGGTAATTGACACATTTCCTTCTTAGATTGAAATATTTCATTGTCCCACTGTGTCTTGTCTAGTCTTACGTTGCGGGTGAGGGTGAGCAGAGCTCAGGTGCATCAGGAGCTGAGGGAAAGAGAGGATGTTGAAAAGGAGCTGGGTTTGGTCAAAGGATGGATCCAAGACACTCGTGGCTTACTGCTGAGTCCAACTGCAGACCTGGATTCACTGCTCCAAGAGCTAGAGGTACAGGCCACTACATTTACACGCACACAAGTTGTTACCATATCATCTCATAGAAAAGACTGTGATTTGCATTAAATCATCTGTTGTTTTCTGTGTTGTAGACTGCACATGGTGAGGTCATCAGCAGGCGTCAGAGTGTGGAGCGTATGACTGAGCTGCAACAGTCCAAGTACCATGACCTCCAGGCTGGTCTGCCCTCTGAGCTCAGCATGCAGCTGGCTGAGGTGACTCTGGCTCTGGGCTCCGCTGAAGACCAGGTGACTCTGCATAAATGCTCAGACACTGACTGTACATTTGTATTGCTGTGTTAAGGGCTTAATTTCAATTATCTATTTTTAATTTTTTTTAATGAAGCTGTAGCAACAGTTCAGTTTTGTGAATGTACTATATACACCAGTACATACTCTTATATGTGTTGTCTACTGTCCAGTGTATGACTTCCCTGCTCCAGAGCACTTTGTTAAAAAGTAAAGTTATAAATTATGTGTATTTCCACCATATCCTTTAGGTCCAAGCACGGGAAAGGGAGGTGCAGCAGACCAGAGATGTGAAAGAGGACTTCAGCTCCCGACTCCAGGACATCGAAGCAAAGCTGAAGACCATCGCTCTGAAACTGGAAGACAAGAGTGCCGACCTGAAGGAGGCCAAAGAAGAGACCAAAGTAATCAACAAGACAGACTGACTAATTAACAAGCAATTAACCCCTGTTCAATGGACTCTTCGTTTTGCAGATGTTGAGGTTAATGAGTGTGTTGGAGCTAGAATGGCATGAACTGAATTCTGCCATCAACAGTGACCCACTTTTGAGAGGAGGATTCCAAACGGGAGTCTGAGCCCCTTCCCTCTTTTATCACCCTCACAGCTTTTTTCTTTTCTCACCCCTCTGTCCACCTGTACAAAGATTAGTGGCTCAAAGAGTAGTTGAAGGAATAATAAGTCTTTTTTTTGTGCCGATTGGCAGACTGTCTTATCTATTGTAATCTCTTAAAGCCCTTTTTTCATTATTCTTTTTCCACTTCACCTCTTACTCTCCTCTTGTCTCCTCTCCAGGCTCTTTGTGAAGAGTGTGAGTCCTGCTCTCGCTCTCTGGCAGAGTTGGGAGTAGCGGTGCAGGAGTTTGGGGAGCAGAACCCTCTGCTGTGTAAGCAGCTCGGCGATGCTGTGGCCAAACTGACAGAGGTGCAGCGGCACACGACACAGCAGGTCCAGGACAGATCCAACAGACTGAAGAAGGTGAGCTGTGGGATTCAGAAAAGTTCCCAGTATTTCTTGTATATAATTATTATAATTATCAGGATCTTGTGGCCAGTATCGGGTGATTCTGAGACTTTATAGTCTCTCGCTCATTTGCCTGATGCTTTAATTCTTCTGTCTTTTACATGTGAGCAGGCAGAGAGACAGGTGGATGAATATCAGGGTATGAAGACGTTCATTTTGGGCTGGACAGACAAAGCAGAAGTTCTGGTCTCTGGTAACATCATCTGGAGCTCAGCTTCACAGCTGCAGGAGCAAATTCGAGCACATCAGGTGAGACTTAATAAATCACACAGCAAAGAGGTTAAAGTCATAAAACTGCAAAAAATATAATCCAAAAAAAATGTTATATTTATTTTTCCACAAATTCTTTTTTCTCTTTTCATCAACCAATTAAATATGATGTTACCACACAAATTTACTGCTAATTAGACTCACACAGTCTGATTTCCAGTGAAATGTCATGTCCTGTTCACTATGTTGGCTTGACACAATTAGTATAATTGCTCTGTTAAAAAACAGGGCTCCTCTCTTTGACTTGTAATTTATGTTCCCATGGTGACAGGCGCTGCTGCGGGAGTGTCGGGGTCTCCATGGGGACTTGGAGGCCATGGGGGAAAGGGAAGGGCATCTGGGGGAGGTGTTGCAGACGGAGGGGTGGAGCCTGCAGGTGAACCACCTCAGCAGACGCACGGAGGAGCTGCAGCAAGCGGCCAAGACTCGTCTCCAGAGTTTGCAGGATGCAGCAAAGGTAAAAGACATTCACCTACAGGAAATGCTCATCGAAAGCACTTCATCTCAAAATGATTTCAGGCTGCTCTGATAGAATTAATTTCATTCATTAAAAATATCAAGAGCCACAGCTCATTTTATTTTATAAATCCTGACATATTGTTTCATACTGGGAGTGAGTCAGATACACCAGAGCCACAGTCCAATAGTGCCCCCCTATGGTCACTGATGAAACAACGCACAATCATAATGGAATGAACAGCTTCAGTCAGTGGCAGCAGTAATCTGTTACTCTCGTCTGATTGCTCTGCAGCTGATACACTAATGGTCGTCTGCTGCTGACTGTCGCCTGATGTTGGAAATCTGTTTACAATTCCTCCTGTGGGTTTAGATTGCAGACAAAGCACAAATCTTAGTAACAGTGGCTGTTAATTTAATTTTCCTTCACATGAAATTCATCAAAGTCAATAAAAAATTGTAGAAGATGAGATTTCTTTAAAAAACAAATCGCATTTTACTTGTTGCTCAAAGTGAAATGAAAACATACTTTTGCAGACTATTGTGATTTTACAGCATAGCAGGTCTATATTGGTGATAACAGACTGGATGGATGGATACACTACAAGTTGCTCCTACTCCTGCGTATTCTATCCTCTGTTTTATTTTATCTGTGTCTTTTTTCAGGACATGCTGCGTCTGGAGGCAGAGGTCAAGAACCTCCACTCAGCTGTGGACCAGATCCAGGTCACGCTCGCTTCCCCTGACCTCAACAGACTCAGCCTCAGAGAGCAGCTCACACAGAGACAGGTACACACACGTTTATTGTTTTAATTAATCCCTGTGTATTATTTTTTCATAGAAGTCAAGTTAGAGCTTCATACACAGAGAACACTTACACACAAAGCATGCCTACATTTGCAAGAGGATTCTGAGAGCAGTATTGCTTTAATCACACACTCATTAAATCCTCCTCACTCTCTAACACCCCCTTTCGTTCCCTCTCTAGCGTCTGTTGGTGGAAATGGAGGGCTTCAAGCAGCAGGTGGCGGCGGTGCAGCGGTGTCAGAGCGCCCTCCGGCTACCAGAGGAGGTAGTGGCCAGTCTGCCGATCTGCCGTACAGCTCAGACACTGCAGCAAGAGGCCAGCCAACTGCAGCACACCACCATCCAGCAGTGCAACATCCTGCAGGTAGAGGGCAACCCTCACATTACTAATGCTGCTGATTATTGCCAATATTAAACCTGAGGTTAACGTAAACAACAGAGCTGAGAATCATGTTAAAGCATGACATCACAGATAAGTTTAAGAGTTAGTTAACAAGGTTTTGTGTCACATTATTTGAATCAGTCTGTCTCCAGGTTACTTCTTTAACTGTCGAGTTAAATCCTGTAAACCTAAAAATCCTCATTTGAAATTACATTTGCCTCTCAGCATCGGAGCTGCACAGAAAATTGTTTGTCGACCTTATGTTGTTAACTTGCTCTGATGCTGTAAATTCTGCTGCAGTGTCCCAACCCTCTTTATAAACAGCCTATGGTCCCAACAGACCTCCTCAGGAATGTCTGTGTTTTCCTTTAGCCCCCATCAGACCACTGTTATCCTCAAATCCTTTGGATCTGGGCTGATTTTGTTTGTAAGCTCATTGTGGAGAAGATTAGCCGTCAGAAGAAACAAATGTCTGACACGAACTGGAGGACAGACAAATAAAGCATCATTGCTGTGGAAATGTACCATACACAAACTGCAGCAGTCTATGATGAACACACTTGGTGACAGATACTGTGCATGCAGAAATTATTATTTCTCACCCAGGATCAATAATATAAATCACATTTTAAGATCATTTTTACAAAAGCTGCAGCTTCACTCTTACCTTGATATGTTTCCTCTTTGCCAGGAGGCTGTGGTGCAGTACGAGCAGTACGAACAGGAAGTGAAGAACCTCCAGAGATTAATAGAAGAAGCTCATCGCATCATTCAGGACCGGCCCGTCTCCACCAATAACATACAGGAACTTCAGGCTCAGATACACCACCATGAGGTGAGAGGACACACAATTGAAATTCATTAAAATATATTTTTAGATTTACAGCCACAGGATGTGTATTTTTTTTCACTTCTGTAATCTGCAACAACAAAATGTAGTATAGTTCTTCCCCAAAGGGATGGCGTCAGGTCTCTGTACAGACTTGTCTTATTCTTCAAGACCAAACTTGAATCTAATCTATATAGACTAAACAAGCGCTCTCTCTAAAGTGTTGCTTTAAAGTTAAAATGTACATGTTATAAAATAAATCACCATTGCATGCTTTTGCCCTTAATCTAATTTCCTCAAACTGAAGCTAAGGGCCTGGACCTTAAAAAACAGGCGATATAGTCGAAGTTAAGGATTCATAGGTTCATTTGTTGAAGTCATAGAATAAAAACCCTGATATAAAAAAAGAGCTCCTTCAATAATCTGATTTATGTTTGCTTTAAAGTTCACTAGGTTTGATGTTTTAGAGTTAATACACAGATGTCCTTAATCGTTTCTTTAATGAGGTCAATTTTTATTTCAGTTTCAGAGTGTGAACAGACAACTTCATTCGTCAGTTATTAGATATTTCCTGGTGTAAAAGTGTTGAAAAAACAAAATCTAGTGAAAACATTCACAGCAGGAAATATACTCATTCAGTCATGAGAGTAGTAGTAATTGAAGAGTAGTAGAGGCATCAATTAATCTGTTCAGTTATTGCTCAATTTCAAAATGAAAACGATGGGCAATTAAATGATTATTATATAGAACTCCCGCAATAAATACATCACATTTAATTCCTTTTTCATGTTGAGTCATCAAACCTATTCTGCTGCACACACATTCCTCATTTATATGATGGTGCATATAAATAAAATCTGCGTACATTCCTGTTTGATGCAGTGCTGATGATTGCAGGGTTTTCACCTGCATCTGTGCTTCCTGTTGCAATTTTACTTTTGCTGAGTGAGTGTGTTCCATCTCCCGTGAGGAGAGAGAGATCTAGAAAGTGGAGGGGTATAGAGGCAAAGACCTGCACACAAAGACCAATCAAATCCAAACAGGCAACACATTTTTCATGACAGTTCAACTTGTCCTGCACGGTTCTGACAGATTTGATCTACTCCCTCTACTTGTTCCAATACAGGAAACACATTTTCTTGTTAGTGCAATCTCTCTGTCACAGCAGAGAGGCTTGGCATACCACTGTGTTTATGTCTGAGTTTGATCTCTAAGCTGAGCAACTGCACTGGTCCAGTTCGTCACGTGACCTGATTATCAGTGCATTGACCATCTGCGGTACAGAGGGAGCAGAAGGAGGAGGAGGAGGAGGAGAGGAGGAGGAGCTCGGCCCGGCCTGCCGGCTCATACCATAGCTGTAATTTGACACCATCTCTGTCATTCTTCCCCCGTACACGCTCCCTCTCTCCTCGCAGCTCTCTTTTGTTGAAAGGAGTGAGGATTGGTGGAGGAGGGAAGTAGCAGGCGGAGGGAGGGGGGTTGCAGTGAGATCACTTCCTGTTTTTTTCCTGCCCGTTTGTGTATGTGTACGAGAGGGAGTGTTTGAGGGATTTTGAACTATTTCTGCAAGGGTCTGTCTCTCACTCTCAACCGAACATCCTGTCTGATGGCTTCACCGCCGATTTGAGTCACCCGCCTCTGTGCTGCTCTGATTGGCCCAGAGATACAGAGAAGAGAGAGAGAGACAGAGAAAGGGAGAGTGAGGCTGTGCTATTCTCTTTCTGCACTTACACACTGTGAAGCCAAAAGCGAGAGAGGAGCGGGGAGGGAAGAGAATGCGTCCTCTCCAGTCACTCCTCTCACACCGGCACAACAGTCAACGCTGAGCCAGCCTAGCCACCCTCCTTTTCTCAGGATCTTGTTCAGCCAGGAACTATTGATCTCCCATTGTGGACTGAGTCACCCTCTCCTGACCCTGGGGGCGGCCGTGTTTTCTGTGTCCGGGGGGGATGTTTTGACAGGAGCTGGCCCAGAAGATCCGAGGCTACCAGGAGCAGATTGCCTCCCTCCACTCCAAGTGCAAGATGCTGACGGTGAAGGCCAAACACGCCACCATGCTGCTGACGGTCAACGAAGTGGACGGCCTGTCGGACGGCGTGGATGAGCTGAGTGATGAGGAGCTGCCCAGTTCTGTGGCCACCGCCAACAAGCAGCTTCCTGCACACCCCTCTGTCGTCATGGTGAGCAGCACAGCCTTCTCAGGACACATGTTCAATCACACAGAGACGTACAGGATGTGTGGCCCATAGTTGTGTGTGTGTGTTTGTGTTTCTCAAAGTGGAACAAAAGAATCCCCACGGGTCATTTTGGTTTTTACAGGGTGTGTAGAGTTCATTTCACAATAATCTCATTTGTTAGGTTGTCTGATTTATAATCACAGCTTCAACTCTGCTATTATAATCTTAAAATATTTTATCACTGCACTGAAACTTTGCTGCGTCACTTCATTTAACATCATCTTAGCCTGAATCTGTTAACCTTCTACTGTACTGTGTCCTCTTCAGCTCGATCATTCATCTTTCTTCTGTGTCAAGTCACTTCCTGTCTTTTCTTTGTATGGTTGAGATTTTGGTATCTTGCCTTGTCAGTGCTGCTTGTGGTGTGTTCAGTCTCAGCAGGCCAGGAAACAGGATATTACTGTGTGTGTGTGTGTGTGTGTGTGTGTGTGTTTGCGAGCAGAGCATAATAAGGTTGTGTGTTAGGCGTCAATAGGTTGCTGGGACTGCTGATACTCCTCATTTGTTATTGTTCCGCATAGTTACTGCAGTGACAGTCGACCTCAGTCTCTCAACCACTCTCACCGTGTGAAATCACTGAGTCTCCCACACTTGTTTATTCCACACATGTCCCACATGTGTATGTGCTCCTTGTTGCGTTGCATTGCATCATAAAGCCCGGGAAAAAAAAGTCCTCCAGATATAACAAGGTCCCGAGTCAGTCGGCCAAGTTCTGCACTAACAGCCAAAACGCAGCCCAGTAAGGCCTGGCTCACATTTCAGCTGCACCTCTCTGCTGAAGCATGCAGGCTCACAGACAACTGTGCTACCTCTATGACAGCTGCTGCCACTTCTGCCGTTTCTGTTTCTGCTGCTGTATCCCCTCCCTCTGAGAGCTGTGCCACGCATTAGTTTTACTTTGTGCAAGTGAGTGGTTCATTTTGAGTTCTTAAAGAGGAATAATCCAGAATGTAGTTAAAATATCAGTGTGTTTGTGTGTGTGTGTGTGTGTGTGTGTGTGTGTGTGTGTGTGTGTGTGTGTGTGTGTGNGTGTGTGTGTGTGTGTGTGTGTGTGTGTGTGTGTGTGTGTGTGTGTGTGTGTGTACTGTGAGCAATCACTGTGTGTGCACTTACTGTATGTGTGATTTTCACATTCTGGTGATGACCATTCCTTTCCTCTGATGTGTCCTGTGAAAAACTCCTCATGGCTCAATCCTCGCCAGTGGAATCCATTAGCACAGACCAATTTAATACTGTACCATGTCAGAGTATGTGTGTGTGTGTGTGTGCTAAGGTTCCACAGTTTTATGCCAACAGCAGTAATGTGATCTAATGGGTGTCCTCTTCCTGTTATTTGATTACTCACTGTCTAATTAATCAGCAGTGTGCTCACTGTAATCTGCCTAACCTTCACTCCCCCCATTAATTTTTATGCTCTCTTCTTTTCTTGCTTCATATTTTCTCCCTCCCCTTTATCTGCCTCTTTTTTTGTTCGCTCGCCCTCCTCCTTTTCCTCCACCTGCTTCTTTGATGTGTGTGTTTGATGTGCGGCACGATTGTGTGGTCAGATGACAGCCGGCCGCTGCCACACACTCCTCTCCCCTGTGACTGAGGAGTCAGGGGAGGAGGGAACCAACAGCGAGGTCTCCTCTCCCCCTGCCTGCCGCTCCCCCTCCCCAGGGGCTAACGCTGATGCTCCTCTTAACCAGGTACTGCAACCGCCACCCCTCTAAAGCCCTCCTGACCTGGTCACCTGCCCCACCTGCCCCAGCGCCACAGTCCACTTTACATGTTCCAAAAAAATGTCAACCTCAACATGAAGCAAATTTGGCATTAGTGCAGTTTTGACTCCAATTTACTTTCAAGATCCTGAAAGTGAGTCTTGTAGTTTTTCATTCTTTTGATAAATATAAGAATTTAAGACAGAAAATAACTTGTAAAGATGGAGATGCAAACTATGCCACCCAATCCCCATCCCACCACCATCACCTGATTTCCACCACCAAACCACAACCTCTCCATCATCATCATCGTCATCACCATTATTCATACACTGGGTGTTTAAGTTGCTGTGCTCCCTCTGCTTCTCTCTTTTTTAACATTATGTTCGCAAATTTACTTTGCCAAAGATAATTTGTTGCACGCTTTGTTGCTGAGATCAGAACGAGTGGGTCATTATCTACGCGTGAACTTCTGTCATTGACGTGTCAGTGAGAAAGAAGAATTATCCTAACCATTAGCTCAGTGCTGTGTGGACCAATTACAAGAGATTGAGATCTATTTTAATAATGTACAATATTGTAATGTATGTACAGCAGATGTGGACTTAACTTCCTTCAAATGTTCCATTGAATTTCATTGTTAACAGTGTGTTTTGGGACATAAGGACATTTCAGAACCATCCTCAATCAACATGAAGAGTACAGTATGGAGTGTGTACTGTACACACACACAGTCGCACACTAATGAAACCCACACTGACTGTGTCGTTGTGTCACAGGGTCGTGGCACTCTGAGCCGAGCACCGCTCCAGGAGCTTTATGACCCATCCATGGAGTCGAGCGCTGCTAACCTGGATGACCTGCAGAGATCCTGGGAAACACTCAAGAACGTTGTATGTCACTTGTAGATATTTAAAAAAAATCTTGGGTGTGGGGAGGGGGGGTCTATTTTGGACTGTACCAAAATCTGAACATGTATATTTATGGATGGACGACACGAGTGCCAAACACAAGCAATTCTGTAACAGGTTTTATGCCAGCTCATCCTCTCCAGCCATTGTCTCACTTCTGCCACTTCTGTGTGTGTCTCTCCTTCCCTCCCTCCTCTCCTGTCACAGATCAGCGAGAAGCAGAAGAGTCTGTATGAGGCTCTGGAGCGACAGCAGCACTATCAGGAATCCCTCCAGTCCATTTCCACTAAGATGGAGTCCATCGAGGGGGCACTCAATGAGGGGCTGGACCCCAGCAAGACCCCCGAGAGCCAGATGGCTGCACATCAGGTGAGTGAAAGAGAAGAAACAAGGGTCTGGAGATACTGGGAAGTTAACTGAGTGAGGGTTAGAGAAAGAAAAGAGGAGTGCGGTGCAGTTAACATGTGAGAGGAGACGTCTCTTGGGAATAATACAAACGTGACTTAAACAAGCCTTCTTAGGAGAATGAGAGAGAATGATTGAAGGGTTTAATATGGCACCAGCCTGTGCAATGGTTTCACAGACTGCACAGCTCTGTTCTCTGTTGCTATGCCAACTTCACAGTGACGGCCGATACAGTTCCTTTTTTTACCAGTTTGGCAGTTTGGACAAACGCTCTATTGCTGCTCTCTCACCATCTTCCTCTCAGTCCCTTCCTGCTATCCTTCAACAATGTCCATCTCCTTCTCTTTTTCCTCATTCACATCTCACGCTTTTCTGATCTCTGTGCGTCCCAGGCTCTGATGGATGAGATCTTGATGCTGCAGGACGAGATTGGTGAGTTGCAGACGTGTTTCTCCGAGGAGCTGGCGGACAGCGACAGTGATGGGGAGGCTGGAGACCAACTGGCGCTCCAGTCTACGCTTACTGTCCTGGGAGAGAGGATGGCCACCATTCGAATGAAGGCTTCAGGAAAACGACAGCTGCTGGACGTGAGTGCTACAGAACATCATGTTGTCAAAAATGTGTATTATTTACTATGTGCTTCTGTATCCCCATGGACGCCATATTCAACATTTCACATTGACCGCTGCAGGAGAAACTAAGTGAACAGCTAGAGGAGCAGCGACAGGAGCAGGCGCTGCAGCGTTACCACAGCGAGGCCGAGGAGCTCGACCACTGGCTGCTCAGCACTCGTGCCACTCTCAGCTCTGCACTTCAGCTCCAAAACAAAGACTTGGACATGGAGGAGCAGCTCATAGACTGTCAGGTGAGGCTGACATTTTCTAGTATCATTAAACATGTTAGTGACTGGATGCCTGAAAAATGACACTGAGCTTGAGCAGCGGATAACAATTTTGCTGGTAGAGATTTACTTTTTCTTATTAAACTCTGTAGAGGAAAATTTTCAGTTGGAAAGATTCAAAAAATAGGAGCCCACCAAATGAATACCTTTTCTAGGATAACAACACTGGGATTAGGATCAGGGTCTGACCCTGTATCCCTCTATGATGACCCTTCTCATTCTTTCACCACCTTTTGTTCCCCCACTCATCCTGGTAACATCACCTTAATCTGGGGGGTTATTAGGCTCCACTGCTAAATGGTAGCGTTGGTCACTGATCCATCATGATGTGTTTTTGTAAAGGTTTTAATGAGGTAGGTCGTCTAAAGTAGTAAGTTATTTACCCCAAACCAGTTCAGTTTACAGTAGTGTCATCAGAAAACCCCAGGGATTTTTAAACGGGTAGCTGACTTACTTTGTTTATAGTTTGAGAAATTGATTTAGAACTGAATTAACTTTATAGTTTCATTCTTACAAAAACACTTTTTGTGAAAATAGAATTGAAACAGAAGATCTGACATCCTGAGGACGAAATCTGATGTAAATAAACGTTCAACCTCTGATCATTTGTAATTGCAACGATTGTAATTTGCCCCTCCACAGTAATAATACATGGAAATCAGCGTTTGAATGTGTTTGTAGCAGGTGGGAAACAGTAAGCTGATTATAGCTTAATATGGCTCCTGTCAAGCTCAGACCTTAAGGTCCAGTCCATGTAGATAATCATCTTCAGGGTGTAACAACTATCTGTGAGTGTAGGTTATTACATATATCCTCTGGAAAGAGGGGAGAGACATGGTGAGAGAACGAGAAGAAGATGATGTGGCACAATTCTGTTTTTCAATAGGCAAAAAGAAAACAAAGAACATTTTTGAGTTAAGCAAAGCTTTCTGTGGTAAGAAACTACTGAGACAACAGATTTTCTCCACCTTTCCACCACATGACTCAGGGAAAACTCTGAATAGAGCGAAAAGAGATATATTACGCTCTCTGCATTGTTGTGGAGAATTCTCTGTAGTGAACTGCCAAGGGCTCTTGTCGGCCCGTATGAATTAGGGGATACAACCTCAATCCCCCTCTTTTCCACGTCCTTACAATTCTGCCACTTTTCACACACAGTCCAGACAGCTCTCTCTTACCCTCTTCTTTCTCTTCTAAAGAAATGTAGGAGGAGAGTGAGGGAAGCCTGTTGGAAAGAAATTGAAAAGAGACATTTAATAAGCTTGAAAAAGAGCATGAGAACGGAAGAAATACTGGTCAACCTCAGACGCAGCACCGCTTTCTACCCACAAAAAATAGCAATTAGCAATACTTGCTATAATGATTATTATTTATCAACCAGTTATCAACTGAAACTGGAAGTGATTTGAAAAAGTTTTACTCTGATGTTGAATATACTGTTTCTGAGTTTGCCTCGTACTCCTGCCTCTCCAGAACATGCTGTTTGAGATCGAGCAGAAGGTTTCGTATTTGTCGGAGCTGTCCGTCCACAGTGAGAGTTTGCTGTTGGAGGGCCGGGGGGAGACCAAGGGGGAGGCGGAGCAACTCACCATCAAACTGCACTCCCTCAAAGACAGCCTCCTGGAGCTGCAGCAGATGCTACAGGACAAACAAGTGGACATACAGGTGAGATCAGATCTATTCCTCCAACATCCTCTCTTGTTCTGTGCATTTTCCTTCCTCCCTGCCTCTGTGTCATTTCTGTTGTGCTGTACTGCATTGTGCTGCTTTGGTTAAAGCATCAATGGTAGTATTGTGCAAACACTAAAGGCCATGGCATGCTTCTTCATAGAAGTCCACTGTTTTCCACTATGGGACAACAAGAGCCTGTGTGTCTCACAATGGGCCCTTAGACACCAGACAAAAGGGTGCCACCTCATCACATGCTAACACTAAATGCACTGCATCAGGTGTGTTTCTGATGACATGGTAGTTTAACCTTTTGGCTTTATGCCCCATTAAAGTGGATGACCTTAAAAAGATAATAGATAATAAATAGTGATATTCTTATTTCACTAAATCACTTAACAATGCAAATACACTACAGTAGCTCTGAGCCAATTAAACACGCTAACAGCAATTGATAAAATGATAAATGTTGATGTTTTGTGTATTTAATAAAATGTAATAATGTCATCTGATATTGTTGATGTCTCCACTGGACTTCACTTCATGAATTGGACATCACAAAGTAGATTTACCGAACTGCAGCTGCATTCCATTCTCTGATCTTCACAAACTTCATCAACCCGGTCTCAAAGAACAAAAACTCTTTCTGTCTTTCTCCTAGGGTTCATTGCAGGAGCAGGAGGACAGTGAGCCAGACTCATCTCTGTCCCAGAGTCCTAATGTCCAGGATTGGTTGTCTCAGGCCCGTTCAACACGCACACAGCAACACCACGACAACCTGCAGCGGCAGAGGGTAAGAGGAAGCTCAACATACTCTCCGTATGATTGCCATGTGCCTAAAATAAAATCAATTGCAAACAGTAAAATGTAAATCTTTATAAATTAATCTAATGTAAGTCCTGTATTTTTAGGAGCTACAGATTCAGGTAGCTGAACAGAGGCGGCTGCTTCAGTCTGTAGCAAGTGTTGGGGAAGAGTTACTCAACCAACAGACCACACCCAACGGGGACAGGTACTTTTTCTCCTCTGTCGACATGTTACAATTACAACTGGGTAATAGTTAAAATACACTGGGACCTGATAAAACAACACTTCAGGGACCAGATGTTAGTCTGCTGTGACAAAACGCTTGTCTCGCTTCCACAGTGAGGTGTCCATCCCTGGGGGAGTGTTGCTAGAGACAGAGATGTTGTCTCCTTTGGAACAGCTGAGACATCGCTGGGAAAACCTGAATAAAGATCAGAGCACAAAGCTGCAGCTCTCTCTTAACACCCTGGAACAGGACCAACTCAGCCCGGTACAGATCGATTTGTTTGATGTTTTTTTTACAAATGTTTGACATAAGGCATTAAGGCTGATATGCATTCTGTTGTTACTTTTTCTTTTGCTCTTGTTATCTCACAATATCACTCGTTTGACATATGTCTCATATGTGCAGGTCATCCACCGGTCCCGTTTGTCCAGTCCCAGTATGGTGTTTAGAGGCGAGTCCGGCAGCCAGGACTCTCACTCTCCCAGAGCTTTGTTTGAGACCTGCAGCCAGACTCTGGAAAGAATCGCCCAAGAGGTGAAACATTCATTTTGTCTTTGTTGTAGTTTTCTTGGCAATTCTTTGACCTTGCATTGTACTGAACATATGCTATTTATTCCTCACAGGCTGTGGGTAGTGACAGTAAGCTGGCAGTATCTATTGGAGGGGTGACAGTCCAGCAGGACCTGTATGCTGCAGTTTCAGCAGCCTCCTTCTGGCTGGATGCTGCAGAGAATCAGCTGCTGTCTGGTCCTGTGCTGCTGCTTGAGGACACAGAGACACAACTCACTAATCTAGAGGTGAGTGGGAACAAACACACTGATCAGCTTTATTTGCTCTATAGAAATTTAAATTATAAGATGAAAAAATTAAAACGTTATTAAACAGAATACACTGTCCGTGTTACTTACCTGAACTGTTCTGCTCAGGGTTTGAATAAACAGCTGAAGGAGATGACCAGGGAGGTGAACCAGTGCAGAGACCTGCTGGGCGGAGGAGCAGGCCGGCTGTGTGGAGGAGAGGAGCAGGCTCTGATGGAGGACACCCTGGAGGGTCTGCAGGAGAGGATGGGCCTCCTGGACTCCACCCTGGAGCAGCACTGCGACGCCATGAGAGACAAGCTGCAGGAACACTCATCTTTCCAGGTGTTAAATCTAGACTGTTGCACCACCTGAGGGATTTATATCAAGCTTGGGATGTCATGCATTTTATTTCTGCCTGCATCTTAACATTGCTTTTGTTGTCTTTGCCAGAATGAACTGAGGATGCTGTTCACAGCTCTGAGTGAAAGTAAACACCAGCTGCTGCAAAAGATGGCTGGAAGTGCAGACAGACCTGCATCCAAACAGATCGAGGTATGATACGAACCAAAAGCAAATACGCAAATATGGATTTAGTGGATTTAAAAAGCTTGAGAGGATGTCTGAGAAATGATTTTAACTGATTGTCCTGCTCTTTTTTTAGGCATTATCTGAAGTGGAGGACAGTCTGAGGGAGTTTGAGCAGAGAGTGAGTGAGCTGAAGACGAGAGCAGAAGGACTTCAATCTGAACAAACCTCCAATCAGGAACTACTTAAACTACAGGTAATGTTGTTAACAATGAAGTTCAAATATTCCATTCCAACATTATTATACTCAGTGACTGACATATTGTTGGTTCTGTGTAGGATGCATACGAGGAGCTGGTGCTGATGGTGGGCTCCAGACGCAGCAGCCTTAACCATGGCTTGTCTCTCAAGGCCCAGTATGAGGCTGCACTTCATGACCTCACTGACCTGGTGGACACCGCTCAGGACAAGATGGCTGCCGACCAGAAGATGACAGTGGCCTCGGTCATAGAGGTCCAGATGTTACTGGACAAACACAAAGTAAGGAGGGGGTTGAAATGGAGTGGCATTCATTTTAATTGCAAAGCTATAAGGCCATTGAATTCTCTCCTCTTTAACTGTGTGTTTTCGTCTGCTCCAGGAGTTCTTTCAGGGTCTGGAATGCCATATGATCCTCACCCAGACGTTTTACAGTAAAGTGTCTAGTCTGGTGGCACAGAGGGAGAGCCAGGTCCTGGAGGAGACCATGGCTTTAGCCCACAGTGTGCTCAAACAGGCCCACAGGAGGGGAGTGGAGCTGGAGGGCATATTGGAGGTGGGAATTACTGATTAAAATCGTAAAATAGTATAGTTTATATCACATATATAGAAAAACATTAAAAACCTGTTGGGAATAGAATAAATATGATGTTGTAATTTCTCTCTCTCTCTCACAGTCATGGAGCAGGCTTGTTGAAGACTACCAGGCTCTGTGTAGACAGCTGGAGGCTGTGGAGTGTAGCATCCCCACTGTGGGTCTGGTGGAGGAGACAGAGGAGAGACTCACTGAAAGGATCAGTCTCTATCAGGTAAGACACTTAACACAGTCTGTTCAAGATGTCCCCTGATTTACCCTGAAAGGTACAATCAAGACTTAGTTTCAGAATATTTAATTTTTGATCGATCAACCTCATCTGTCTTTCCTTCTGTCCTCCAGCGTCTGAAGGCCAGCCTGACTGAGCATCAGCCACAGCTCTACCAGGTTCTGGAGGAGGGCAAGAGGCTTCTACTGTCTGTTGGCTGTTCAGACTTGGAGAATCAGCTCACGCAACTTGGCGAACACTGGCTCTCCTCCACCACCAAGGTCAACAAGGAGCTGCACCGCCTCGACTCAACGCTCAAACACTGGAGCAGGTCAGCAGCCTTCAGGTTGATTTGTCAGCGTGACACCTGGAGTCTGAATACATCTGTAAGAACTAAATCATTTTCTGGTGAATTTCAGGTACCAGAATGAGTCCGCAGAGTTGAGCCACTGGTTGCATTCGGCTCTGGCCCGGCTCGAGTTCTGGACAACCCAGTCAGTGACAGTGCCTCAGGAGCTGGAGACTGTCAGAGACCACCTCTATGCCTTCCTGGTTAGTCTGGTTATCACATCACAATATTCCGATCATTCTAATGACAGTAAGGTTTAATTTCAAATTCTCCAAACTTCTGTTTCTGACAGGAGTTTTCCAAGGAGGTGGATGCCAAATCGTCTCTGCGTTCTTCTGTGCTCAGCACAGGAAACCAGCTTCTGCGATTAAAAAGAGTAGATACCGCTGGTCTGAGGACGGCGCTTGGCCATGTCGACACTCAATGGGCTGAGCTGCTGACTCGTATTCCTGTTGTCCAAGAGAAGCTACACCAGGTCTGTTGCATGGTTTTTCATCTGAGATTTTTTTTTTTTACATTTTTATTTATATAATAATCTTAACATATTCTTTTGGCTATTTGACGTCAGTATTTTCATGACACATTTGATGATGCTGTATTTTGTCTGTTTGCACCCTCAGTTGCAGATGGAGAAGCTGGCATCTCTGCACGCCATCACAGAGCTGATGAGCTGGATCTCTCTCATGGAGAACATCATAGACGAAGACCAGGATAAGATCATGGGAGCTGTCGGCTCCGAGGTGGTCCAGAACTTCTTGCAGAAATATAAGGTACAAATCCGTCTTCTTATATATCAAAGGTTTATTAACAGCCTCTTTTCTCTTCGTCATCACGGCTTCATGATGCCTCTGTTTGTATTTCGCAGGGTTTCCGGATTGATCTGACGTGTAAGCAGCTGACTGTAGACTTTGTTAACCAGTCTGTGCTGCAGATCAGCAGTCAGGATGTGGAGGGGAAGCGTAGTGACAAAACCAACTTTGCTGAGAATCTGGGAGCCATGAATAGAAGGTGGCAGATACTGCAGGGACTTATTGCTGAAAAGGTAATAATTCACTAACATAGCAATTAAGAATTAAATCAGAAATTTTCACGGTTTTCTGCACATTTTCTTAGTTTACCATAGTTCAATTGTTGTGAATTGTTTGTCTTTTAGATTCAGTTATTGGAAGGACTTTTGGAAGGTTGGGTAGAGCATGAAAACGGAGTCCAGGCTCTGAAAACCTGGCTCACACTCCAGGAGGAGAAACTAAAGAAGAGGCACAGGATAGAGGATGTAGCATCGGTGCAGAATGCACTTAAAGATTGTCAGGTAGTGATACAGCAATGCTGTTAATGCCACACGTATTTTATGTTTTATAAACTCTTGTTTTTTCTTAAATAAATTACACTGTTCCCACAGGAGTTGGAAGAATTGGTGAAGGAAAAAGAGAAGGATCTAGAGAAAGCAGAGGAACGAGGAAACACTCTCATTCGGGATAAGAAAGGAGCGGCCTGTTCTGTTGTCAAGGAGACCCTCAAAGGACTGAACCAGTCCTGGGCTCATTTGGACCACATGGTGAGCTTCTTGGATCCCCAAGCCTTATAGTTGTTGCCTAGATCTTTCTTTGCAATGTGCGTTAATGCAACTAAACATCTCGTCTCCCGTCTTTTCTAACAGATAAGTCAAATGAAGGTCAGTCTGCGGTCAGTGCTGGAGCAGTGGACGCTGTATCGGAGAGCCTCAGAGGAGATTATTGGGTACCTGATGGAGGGGATTTACTCCGTTTCCAGGCTGCGCCTCCTTAACGGGTCTCTAGAGGCAGTGCAGCAGCAGGTGGAGAATTTGGAGGTGAGGAGGGCAGAAAATAGACACCCCTTAAAAAACATTTCAACATTTTAATAGTGAATAAATTCATCGTAAAGGTATTTAACGCAGTGCTGTCGTCTGTTCACATCTTAAAATTTGTCATAATCAGCAACAAATTAAATTTTAGTGGATGTCTGTATTTTAAAGAACTTGCAGGAGGAGATGGATAAACAGGAAAGCAGTCTGAGGAAATTTGGCTCCGTCACCCACCAGCTTCTAACAGAGTGCCACCCGTCTGTGGCTGAAACACTCAACAGAGCCCTGCGGGACGTCAACATGAGGTATAGCGGTGACAAAAACACATCTCTGAGCGACCTTAAATAAAACACCTGAGCTTCCAATGTACTGAAACTTCTTCCTTTTTCCTCTTTTGCTGCAGGTGGAACCGCCTGTTAGAGCAGATCTCCGAGCAGCTGAGGAGCAGTAAGGCCTTGTTGGGCCTGTGGCAACGTTACAGGACATTGTACGGCCAATGTGTGGCAGCAGTTCAGAAACAGGAAGAGCATGCTGATCGCTTGCTGAAGAGTGCCACAGATAAGGAGATCACAGAGGAGGAGAGCAGTGCCTGGATAAAGGACTGCGATGTGAGTAGAGATGGGACGATTTAATGTTCTGATATTAGTCATTGCCTCTCAATACTCAGGTTCAGTGGTAGTTTATTACCAAGTACACATCTTTGTGGTTTAAAATATAAATTTTTTAATACTGTAATGCTGAAACCCCTGCATCCCTGAGTCTCCTTTGTTTTTCTAAGATCTACTAAATAAGCTTCTGAACTGCTTGTCAGCTCATTATGAGGATCCACAAAGCCTCTGTCCCCTCTGCAGAATACCAAATTGCACCCTGTCCTTTTGTTTACTTGAATGTAGTCACACAGCACAACCTAACAAAGGCCTTTTGAGAGGTGGCTGCAATGGAAGAGACAGGCTCCTGATTTACACTACAGGGGTCCTCCGTCGTCATGCTGGGCTTGTAGGGCCATGCTGCACCATGTCTAGAGACGCACTCTCCTAATACTGTAAGCAGACAGTCATTTTAACTGAGGATCACTGTTGCAAACTGTCTCCGGACGCTGAGTGGTTAAGAACTCAGCATTCTTTTTGGCTGACCAAAACCCACAGAAAACACAACGCTGGTTTTACTAATCCTGAATGGATTTAGAGAAATGGAAATTCAGTGAAAGGGTTGAATCGTCGTCTCTGAGTTTGGAAAAAATGCACCATGCTCTGATAAATCTCACTGGATTCAGGGGAAGAAATGAAAAACATGAGAGTTTCTCCTTAATCCAGACAAATTTAAATATTCCTTCTGTGCACAGGCTTTCAGTGACTGTGTTCCTAACCTGCGTCTCTGTTGCAGGCTTGCCTTGGCGACCAGGCTTTGGTGCAGGAGTCACTCCAGCAACTGCAGGATTTAGGGGAACAACTCAAGAGCCAAGTCGACGCCTCCTCCTCTGCAGCCCTCCAGTCAGATCACCTGTTACTCTCACATCGTCTAGCAACACTGGAGCACGCCCTTCACAGGCAGCAGGAAGTACTGCAGGTAGGAAAGTAGGGATGTGCGGGCGGGCACAGGCAGGATTTCAAACAGGTTCTCTCTCAAACACACAGTTACTCTTTTCTACATACAACCCTGATGCATGAAGAAAGAGACGATTAGTTCAGTGTTCTTTCTCTTACCTCATGTTTTTCTCTGTCTGACTGTTTCTAGTCTGGATCTCAGTCCTGTGACAGTTTCAGAGAGCAGTTGGAAACACTGATGCAATGCAGTGAGGAGGCTGAGGCGGTGCTGAAGGAGTCGGACACAGTGGGCTCGCCGGAGCTCAGTGTGGTCCAGTCACGTATGGAAAAACTGAAGGTACAAAAACATGCTGCTGTCTTATTGTTGTATTCTCTGTGTTTCACCAAAAAGATGTGGTATCTGCATTATTTGCTCATAATTCACTGCATGTAGATTAATGTTCTTCTCTCTCTTGCATTCAATTTAACTGAAACATGTTTGATCTTGACACAGTCCTTCCAACAATGTCTGCTCCTGTATTTCCAGGTTCACCTGTTGAAGTTGAGCAGTCTATCTCCCGACCTAGAGCGAGTGAACGAGTTGGTGTACAGATTACCGGTCAGTGACAGAGATGTCAAACAGCTGCAGAGTCTCAACAGAGCCTGGGCCGCTCACTGCGCTCACCTCACTGAGAGGTTCAGGTACCTAAAGCTGTCATACTCTACATGTTTGTAAACTTCGAGCAGTGAGTTACCACCGTGCTTTGTTTTTTGGTGGAAATCACTTAAAATGAACTCATAAGTTTTTGTTTTGTATTTATTATTAAGGTTTATGTTACATGTAAAAAAAAAAAGTTGATTAGTACTAATCTCAGTATAAATGTTTCTTCTGTCCCTCCACAGTAAACTGCAGGCAGTTTTGCTCCAGCAGCAGAGCTTCCTGCAGAAGTGCGAGGCCTGGATGGACTTCCTGTCTCAGACTGAGCAGAAGTTGGCTGCTGAGATTTCAGGCAATCACCAGAGTCTGCTGGAGCAGCAGAGAGACCACGAGGTCAGACATGCATTAAAAGCATCAATATGATAACTGCTGTTCTTCTTTTCTCGACAACTGTTTTTAATATATGCGTGTTTCCTTGCAGTTGTTCCAGGCAGAAATGTTTAGCAGGCAACAGATTCTCTACTCCATCATCAGTGATGGTCATCGTATGTTGGACCAGGGACTAATGGATGACAGGTTGACACACAGTCTTATTTAACAATGCATCTGCCTCATGATAACATATATCCAGTTGTGAGCAGCATACGTACTCTTCTCCCTCTTTACCCACTAACAGAGACGACTTCAGCGTGAAACTGGCCTTACTGAGCAACCAGTGGCAGTGCATAGTGCGGCGGGCTCAGCAGCGGAGAGGCATCATCGACAGCCTGGTCCGCCAGTGGCAGAATTACCGGGAGATGGCGGAGAAGCTGCAGCGATGGCTCCAGGAAGTGACCCATGATTCAGATGTTCAACAACCAGGAGAAGCGGTGGCCCTGCAGCAGGCCAGAGACCTGTTAGATCAGATACAGGTAGCTTAGAATGATATGTCAGAGCTTCTAAAGACCTGAACTTCACACGTGACCTTTCACATCTTCACTAGAATTATCTAAAATATTCATGCTTGTTTCAGTCAATCACCATACTGCTCATTTTTTATAATTAATAATAATGAAGATACTCTTTCAAATAAAAATCATTAACCATGAATAAACTCTTGATAACACTAATAAACGCTCACCCTTCCCCAACCCTAGACTCCCTTAGTTAACCTGCACCCCCTCTGCCATTTGTCTCTGTCTGTGCTCCACCAGCTGAGGGAGCGAGTGCTGCAGAGGCAGCAGGGCGGCTACATCCTCACCGTGGAGGCCGGCAGGAGCCTGCTGCTCTCAGCCGATGCCAGGGCCGAGTCCACCCTGCAGACTGAGCTGATGGAGATTCAGGAGAGGTGGAGGCACGCCCACCACCGCCTGGATCAGCAGAGGAGAGCGCTACACAGCCTGCTCAAGGTCAGACAAAACATAGTCTGTTGCTCTTTTGTACAATTTTGTCTTTAAGTAAGGACTTGGTTCTTTCCATGAACTATTAGCAAGATATTTACTTTGTAAAGGCAGTTTCTTAGATTAAAATTACTTTTGATCAAAACAAAGATGTTTTGTGAGACAGCCATTATTCATTGGAGCACTGAGTCTGTGTTGCAGGCTAAGCCGACTCCCACATGCTGCAGTGTGAAGGTGTTTATGAAGGGCAAAGGCCCTCGATGACGACAGTGCAAACCAGGTTATCACATGAATTATGCAAGTTTACACCTTTGGTCCTGAGATAAAGTAAAAGACAGAGATGGATCACCCTCTTTTCTGTCCTACGATAATGGCTGAGCATTATATAAACATGTGCATGCAATCCTCTGCACACGAAAATAGGATAAAAGTAGCAGCCCAGGGCAAACATCCACACAGCCACACACACACACACACACACACACACACACACACACACACACACACACACACTATGCAGACTGTGCAGTGAGCTGTAATGATTTGAATCCAGTGAGGTAGATTTTACGTGCTGAGATAGTGCCATGTTTTAGAGAGACAGAGTGACACAGTTGAAAATATTAATCCTGGAGTACAAGGTTTGTACTAAAAGATGGTTCTCTTGCTTTTCACTTAGTTGTATTCCCTTACTGTTATTTTCTCTCTTCAGTTCTCATCCCGTCCTTTCTTTTCTTTTTCCATGACTCAGGCTTCAGGTATTTTATGGTCCTTGGCAGCTGTGTTTCTTACTAAATATCAATTTGTTTTACTCAGCACTCAGACTCTAAAAATAGCTGTAATCCGTTGCCCTTTGGAGCAGAACCTTCCTCCTTTGTTATGAAACCTTCTTTCTGGTGGATGGATTTTGCTGCATCACTCTGTCTCACTGTGTTGCTTGAGAGACCCAGAGCTACGTGCGTTCTCTATGGCAAGATGTGGCCTGACTGCAGACTGGGATAGACGTGTGTGTGTGCGTGTGTGTGTGTGTGTCAGTTATTCACACTGTCACTGCTGCAGCTGCAAGAATAATTATAGAGTCTGCAGTCTCTGTGTGTGTGTGTGTGTGTGTGTGTGTGTGTGTGTGTGTGTGTGTGTGTGTGTGTGTGTGTGTGTGTGTGTGTGTGT